CAAAAATTTTCATTTTGATAAAGTCCAATTGACTTCACGAAGTACAATTTTCCCCTTTGGTTACTTTTGATTCCCTTTTGGTTACTTTTGATATTATATGTAAATAAGTCATTACCAAGTCTAACTCACACAAATTTTACTTATATTTTCCTAAAAGAACTGTACATTTAGTACCTATATTAAAGTCACTGATCTGCTTTGAGTTACTTTTTATGTATTGTGTGAGGAAGGGATTCAAATTTATTTTAAAATTCTTATTTTATAATGATTCTGTCTTATTTACCTTATGTATGGTGTATTCAAGTGTATATCTTCAGGCGGGTTGGGGGAGAACAGAACTTGGGGTAAAAAGGGTGCAAAGTTCAGCAATGGAGCTCACTAGACACTGGTTAAAGTGAACTGTAAAACTTGTGGGTGGAGATGGGACGGAGGGACTGGGAGAGAATGAGGGAACAGAAGACACTGTACAAAAGGAATGTACTCTACCTGACTCATGTAAATGTAATCCCTCTGTACATTCCCTCTATAATAACAATAAAGTAAATGAACAAAAAAGAAATTAATGTGCATTGTTTGCCAATAAAACAGCATAGTTAATCAATCAATCGTTCTTTTCTTCTCTGCTCAATAAAAAAGAAAACCACACCAAATGCTATAGAATACAGAAATGGTGTTCTCAGAGAATGGTGAATAGTTTTAAATACTTTCAGTATAAAAAACAACAAATAGGGCTGGGAAGGTGGCTCAGTGGTAGAGTGCTTGCCTTGCAATGCATGAGGCCCTGGGTTCGATTCCCCAGCACCACATAAGCAAAAAGAAAAAAGCCGGAAGTGGCGCTGTGGCTCAAGTGGTAGAGCGCTAGCCTTGAGCTGAAGAGCTGAGGGACAGTACCCAGGCCCAGAGTTCAGGCCCCACAACTGGACCCCCCCAAAAAAAAACAACAAATAAAAAGAAAAAAAATACTACTTTTTCTATGTATTGAAAAAAGTGCAGCGAGCCATAAGAAAGCCATAGTCAGTAAGTATTAAATCTAAAAATCAATAGTTTTAAATATCTAGGAAAAACAAACAGAAAGTGTATTCTTTGAAAAGATTCCTATCAACAACAAAATAGACAAATCCTTGGCAAACTTAATCACAGAAAAAAGACAAAGATACAAGAATTTAGGACTGAGAAAGTACACAAACCTAGGGACAATGTGGAGGAAAGAATCATCAAGGCATGTTGTACAACACTGTGACAACAAAATTGAAAAATAAAAGCTGGAGAGGAGATTGCAAATGTCTCCAGTACCAAGTGGATTCATGCGAGTCTTATCAAACTTTTAAATAATAGATGATTGTAATACTGTTTGAACTGCTTTAGGCAATAGAAGAGAATGGAATATTCATTAATTTATTTAATAAATCTAACCAATATTGAATACCAAACTCAATAAACATAGTACAAAATAAAGCTATAGAGCTTGACATAGTGGTTCATTCCTGTAACCTGAGCACTCAGGAGGCTGAGGCACAAGGATCAAGTTTGAGGCCAACCTAGTGAATAGAAAGTTACAAGCCAGGGTGGGATAAATAGTAAGACTATGTTTCGAAAGAAACCAACAAAGAAGAAGAAGTTATAGATCAATCCACATATTAAGGCACACAGTGCTGGTCCTGGGGCTTGAATTCAAGGCTTGGGTGCTGTCCCTGAGCGTTTTGCCCAAAGCTGGCACTCTACCACTTGAGCCACAGCTCTATTTCTGTCTTTTTGGTGGTCTCATAGACTTTCCTGCCTGGGCTGGCTTCAAACCATGATCCTCAGATTTGAGCCTTCTGAGTAGCTAGGATTACAGCCATGAGCCACCAGTGCCTAATGGCACACAGTGGTTAAGGAAAAATTGCACATAGAAGTATAATCAACTTATATGAACAGTACATTGTATTCAAGAATGTAAGGGTATTTGGTAAATCTATTAACATAATCATTTACCATCAATATAGTAAAGAGGATAATTGAGATGATACTAGATGTTGAAACGTCATTTATAATAATTTTATGTAAATAGAATGAGATAATTTACTGAAACTAAACAGAAAATGTTATTTTAAATAGCAAAATATTAAGGCTATCACAAGTGAAATCCTGGGACAGACAGGAATGCTTGCTTGTGCTGTAATTATTAGCATTTCTTTGTTTCCCAACAAATCAATAAAGTAAAAAGTGAAGCAACAATCTGTAAACATTGCAAAATAAGTAAAAAAATCTTTCTCACTTAGCTTGATTCATAAAAACTCTAGCATACAATTATTATAATTAGTCACAGAATTTGGTAAGTTTCAAAGTACATAGAAATAATTGTGATCGTATTAAAATTTTTGTATATACGATGACATTTCAGTTAAAGTTACAGCAGGTCTTGCTCTTTTTAATTGGCATAGATGCATGCACACCTTCCCTGAAAATATTGAGTAAGAAGCTTAAGTAAGCATCAGTTAACTATTCTTGCTTGATATCTGTATGTTCCTCCAACCAGTCACATCTTCACAATGCTGGCCAGTACTTAATTGGGCTTTACAGGATTTTACCTTGTTTCCACATGCAGGTCATTGAGTAGGTCACTTTGTACATAGTCCCAGGACAGTTCCACAGCACCAAGGTAGTATCTTCTGGTGGCGCTAAAACTTACTTGTAAAAGGCACAGAAAGAAGGAGGTAGAAAGCTCTATTTGCATGGCTATTTCTAGCAAACATTCAACTAGAGAAGTGAAAAATGAACTCTTCTGGGAAATACTTTTAGCTTCCAGGAGAGAAAAAAAAAGGTCAAATGTCTATGATTTAGTGTAAAGTCCTAAAAGTTTTGCAGAGAAATTTAAGGACTTTCCTCGGTGAAAGTGACAGCAGCAGTAGCACTGAGCAAGGCAGAAAAGACCGCTTCCTTTTTGGCAGTGGGAAAGCATCCACAGGAAGAACTAGAGTAGGAAACGGGTGGCTGAGCTAGGGTTTAACCCATTAGTCTCTGAGAGCAAAAGAGGGCACAGACTGTGTGATGTAAATTAGAGCCCTTAAGGAGAGAAGGTGAGAGATGGGAGGGGGGTGTCATGGTGAAAGGAGGTTTAATTTGTATTCGCCTTCCTAGTCTTCTGAAGTTAGAACTGTTGAAAATTCTGGAATTCACTTGTATAAGTGGCAGTCTCAAAAGAGTGAGCTAAAACCCTTACAGAAACTTAGGGGTTTTAGCTGTCTTGGCCCCACACTGTTCTTTAAAATTTCAAGCACACTCATTGATGAAAATCTGCTTTGTTCTCATAAAACAATATTGTTCCTATGGCTTGGCCCACTGACTGCCCTTCCCCCAGGGGACCGTCCTGAAATTCTCCAGCTCAGTCTCCAGCCTAGAATCTTAATTTAAATGTGAAAGCCCACTCCCCAACCCTACCCCCACTGCACTCCCAGGTGATAGGTCCCTACTCCGTGGGGCAGAGGTCTTAAAGAACAGATTCCTGACCCGTGGCATCAGAAGTTCCTGAAAGTCTTTGAGTCCTGGAGCTACATGTGACACCCTGTCTCTCACCATATGAACATTTGAGCTCACAGTGACCCTGTTCTGCAAGCATTACCTTACTTAAGCCCTTCCACCCCTGCCTCCATTAGGCCATGCCTACCTGGCCTCCTGTCTCCCCACTCTCCTCAGGTCACCATGGTGTCCCTTTTCAACTTTCCATTAAAGTTGATCTGGTCTGCTGAGCTCATTTTTTGCTCTTTCTTCTGATGCCCTTGTGACTGTTTCTCTAGATGTGAACAATATTTCCTCCCATATGTGTAGTAAGCCCCATTGGCACACATCCTTGAAGTCTTGGTCTAAATCTGCCTTCTTTGAGAGCTTTGAAGATGGACCATTATGGCACCTTCATTTTTCTTGACAGCACTCAAAACTAATTCACATTATTTTTGTGTGATTGTTGTTACCTGATGCCTTTTATGATTGGTTATGTGTGGCTGTCATGTAAGATATATTTACTTGTAGTATATGTAGCCATAAGCTTAAGCAGAGAGTGTAGCCAGGTTAATTAATGCTTGTTGTGGGGGTGAGAAGTTTTGCCAAGGTCTTCCCGGTATAGGAAGTAAGTAGAAGAAAATGGATGAAAGTGTTAGGGAATGAATGAGTGGTGAGTTGTTATCCAGCGTAGATGTCAGCAGGAGGCAGCCTGTTTGATGAACATTTGTTACGGCCTCCTGGGTGGTAGCTAATGGTTGTTCTGTGGGAAAAGTGGTTTTAAGTGTTTTGTTATACAATGTTGTTCTTGTTTTCATTTTATGGGCACTGGATCTGAAGTGCAGAAACATTAGGAAAGTTTCTTGTGGGCACTCAGCTGTGAAGTGGTAGCATTCAAACACACACACACACACACACACACACACACACACACACACACAATCAGACACCAGAAGGCATCTTCTAACCAGTATAGTATACATGGTCACCTTAGAAATGACTATGACAGTTCCTGCCACCTGGGTGTCGCTGTTCAAGGGGGAGGTCAGATAGGTGGAGTTGCTATACAGCGTGATAGGTAAATTCTGTGGCGCGAGCTCACACACACTGAATCTCTGCGCCAGTTCTGTAGCACAGGTGCAAATGAAGTAACAGGCGCACAGGGGCTAAATGGTTCGCCTGAAGCCTCACCTATTTGATTTGAAAAGACACGGTTCTAAACATCAGGAGGACAGCAGTGAGAAGCTGGGAGAGGGACAGTACGAAGACATTGTCAGGATTGACGTGTTTTTAAACTGTGTTTCACCACTAAGGCACTGTGGAGAACGTTCACGTTCGCGTGAGCGCAGTGAGCTGGGCGTTGCTCGCGCAGGCGCAGGACGGGCAGGTTGCAGGGCGGGGCCGCGGGGCCTGTGACGTTGGCGGCTGGGATTGTGACGCACCACCCGGGACAGGAAGTAGCCCGGCATAAGTGGCCCTCTTCCGCCACCGCAGTGGGAAAGGAAACATCTCTCTCACGGGCCGGAAGCCACCTGACCACCTTCACCACGGCGCGCTACTCGGCATCCTACCGCGCAGAACCTCTGCGCGTGTCCTCGCGAGACGAACTCGCCGAAATGGCGGCGTCCAGTCAAGGTAAGGAGGGGAGCTCGCGGGAAAGCGTCCCTGGGGAGCCGCCTTTCCGAGCTCCGGAAAGGGGAGGCCCCGCGCTGCCGGTGCCTCCTGACCTCCCCCGGGAGACCGAGCGGCGCCCGACACTCGTCCCTGACCCTGCCACTCCGGCTTCTGCCAAGGTCACGCGCCGGGTGGAGCGGAGCGGCTTCGGCGTGTAGACCCCGCCCGGAGACACGCACTCCCGGTTCTCGGAAGCCTTCCGGCCCCCGCGACGAGCTTGTTTGTCCGGTGGGAAGTTCCGCCCAGACGCCTGGCAGCCCGTCAGACGCAGTGGCAGCTCGCCAACTACGCTATTGACGAATTTAAAAAAGTGACTCCATAGAGGATGACACTTGGAAATAGTCTGTTTTAGGTTTCGTCGGCTTATACTAAAGAATATTCCGTCCGATTTCTACTGGAACATTTCGTTTATGCTTTCTTCACTTCTTCTCTGCCTGTCCTGGGGCTTGAATCCAGGGCCTGAGTGATGTCCCTTAGCTTTTGCGTTCATGGCTCCGGAAAAAAAAAAAAAAACCCAACTCACCACTCTAAGGATCGCTAGTTGCTGCTCTCTCTCCCTCTCCCTCTCTCTCTCCCTCCCTCCCTCTCTCTCTCTCTCTCCCCCCCCTCTTAGTTTTCTAGTGGTTTATTGGACATGAGAGTCTCACAGACTTTCCTGCCCAGGCTGGCTTTGAACCGTGATCCTCAGATCTCAGCCTCTTGAATACCTAGGATTACAGGCGTGAGCCACCGGTGCCTTGTTTCTTTTATTGTTCTTACCTAACTTTGCTATATTTAATATATACTAGTAAGTAGCTACAGGATTCACATACTAAACAGAGCTGTCATCAAAAACTCCTGTTATAGCCAGGCAGTGGTGGCTCACAGCTGTGCTCCTAGCTACTATGGAAGCAGACATCCGAGAATGACAGTTCGAAGCCAGCCTGCACAGGAATGTTCATGACACTCTTATCTTCAACAACCAAAAATCCAAAAGTGGAGCTGTGGCTGAAGTACAAGGTCTAACCTTGAGCACAAAATCTCAAAGACAGGCCAGGCGCCTGTGGCTCACACCTGTAATCCTAGCTACTGAGGAGGCTGAGATCTGAGAATCACAGTTCAAAGCCAGCTTAGGCAGGAGAAGTCTTCAATAAACCATGAGAAAACGAAGTGGCGCTGTGGCTCAGTTGGTGCAGTGCTTTCCTTGAGATAAAGAAGTCAGGGACAGCCCGCAGGCCCAGAGTTCAAGACCCTCAACCAACAAAAATTAAAAAGCTCAAGGACTGCACACGTACTCTGAGTTCAACCCCTAGGCCTAACAAAAATAAAATTTAAAAAATCAATTATATAAACTTAATGTTAAATGAACTGCATTTTTTGATGTGGCTAGGAATTTCAATCCTTAAAACTAATAATTGATTTCTTGGGATGGAGATGTTGGCTAGTAACTTATTTTATTTTACTTATTTGGTTCTTTTTTGGTGCTTGAACCCCATGCCTGGTCCTCTCTGTCCGGCACTGGCAGCTTTACCACTTGATCCACACCTCCAGCCGGGCTTTATACTGGTTATTTTGGAGAGGGAATCTCACTGATACTTCTGTCTGCACTGGCCTTGAACCATGATCAGATTTCAGATTCCTGAGTAGCTAGGATTAGAAGTCTGAGCCTGGCTAGTAACTAACTTTTTTTTAAAATAGATTTTAGAGGTGTTCCAGGAATGACTGAATGAAATTGGGTAGATGTACCCTAATGGCTCTCTGATTTAACAGTGCCTCCCCACCCTGTTTTAATTGTGTCACTGTATAATTTGGCATTCAACTCTAATCCTCTTACCCAGCCTCCCAAGTTCAGAGATTACAAGTGTTCGCCACTACACTCTGTTTAATCTCCCTTTTGACTAGACCGACTTACTAAGAAAGGGACTTTGAAAAATTACATTTTAAAACTCATTCTTGTTTTCATTAACAGTTTTTTCTTCAACATACTAATGGTATCTTGTTATAGTACAAATATTTTATTATAAAGCCATCAATAACTCAGTTTCTCAGCATCAGTATTGTAATTCTGCTAAATTGGCATCCACACTTGTTTGTTGAGATGACTTGCTTTCTCCCATTGAATTACCGTGGTGTCATGATATGTGTAAATATATTTTTGGACTCTGTTGTCTCTTTCACTGATACATTTGTGTATTCTTGTGTCAATTCAACACTGTATTGAATGCCATAGTTTGTAAATCTTGAAATTCTATACATGTATATTATAATATAGCTTCATAGGAAGTCTTGAAAAGATTTAAACTCCCCTCCCCACAAGATTATTGTGGCTAGTTATTTTTCCAGATGACTTCAGCAAAGCCAAATGACAGCAAGTCTAGGGGCTTTACCTCAGGACCTGTGTATTTTTCCTTTGCTTTTTTTCTTCAAAGCTAACACTCTACCACTTACGCTACAGTTCCACTTCCAACTTTTTGGTGGTTAATTGGAGATGAGTGTCATAGACTGGCCTAGAACTGTGAACCTCATAGCTCAGCCTCCTGAGTAGCTATGATTATAAGTGTAAGCTACCAGCATCCAGCTCTTAATTGGTTGTAAATTTGCAAGACCCAGACTAATTCTAGAGTTTCTAGAATTCGAAAATGTTTCTAATACAGACATAATATTTTTAATTTTCTGAAATTACACATCATAATTTCAGTTAATTTACTGTTTTAAAATAGAACAATATTTGGATGTTCTATATTATAACTTCTTTTAAAAAATTCACAATCTGCCTCAGTGCCAGTGGCTCGTACCTATAATCCTAGTTACTCAAGAGGCTGAGATCTGAGGACTGAGGTTTGAAGCCAGATGGGGCAGGAAAGTCCATGACACTCTTATCTCCAATTAATAACCTTTTGAAAAAGCCAGAAGTGGAGCTGTGGCTCAAGTGGTAGAGTGCTAGCCTTCCCTTGAACAAAAATACTCGGTCAGCGCCCAAGCTCTGAGTTCCAGCCACAGGACCGGTGTACATGGATACCAAAAAAAATCAATCTACAGAAGGTAATGACTTGTTATTAAAGTAGATATTTTCTTATTTAGTATCTTAATTCTGTTAGGAAACTTTGAGGGAAAATTTGAATCCTTGGACCTTGCAGAATTTGCCCGAAAGCAACCATGGTGGCGCAAGCTGTTTGGACAGGATTCGGGACCATCAGTTGAAAAGTATAGTGTGGCAACTCAGCTGTTAATTGGAGGTGTAACTGGATGGTAAGTGATGGGAATGAAGCCTGGTGGCATTGGTTTGTGTTTTTTTTTGCATGATTTAACATTGTGGTTATAGGTACTTTTTCTTTTAATGAATGAAAACACAGTGACTTTGTTGAAATTGCTCACTGAATATGTATCATTTATCTAAAAATCATGTTAAAATACTATTTAGTATAGTGATAGCTCATGGGCTTTATTGCATATAATAGTTACTACATGTCAGGCACTGGTTTGGGTGGTTGTTCAGATATCTCATTTTCTACTTACAACAAGTCATCTGACATTGGTACTGTCACTATCTGTACTCATTTTATAGAAATTGAGGCTCAAAAAGATTAATTTGCCTAAGACCACATAGCTGCTAGTAATAGAATAAGAAGCTTGCCCTGATTAGCTGTGTCAATTGTTAATTTGACACAGCTTTTTGTTTGATTCATGATAGGTTAAAAATGTGAATCGCAAACTCAGTATGCAAATATCCAATCCAAGTCAGAAATTCTGTACATGTAAAAAACTTATTGTACAACATAACCCAAATATAGAAAATTGTGAAAACTATAAGGAATAGAGTAAATTCATAATGTAACAGCTATACAAGTTAAAAAGTATGTCTGGCACTCCAAAACTCTAAAAGTTGTTATTTTCTTGCTTTTCTTTGTAGTTTCAATCCTATTTATATCACTGAATAATATACTGTAGTTTGCCTGGATTAAACTTTAAAGAAATGTGGTCAGTATTCATTCTTTTGATTCTTGCTTTGGGTTTTTTGGGGGGTTCAGTTGATCTTTTGCATAATCAGCTATGTTGTATATAGCTGTAGTTTTTCATTTTCATCTTATTTAGAATTCCTTTATGAGTATAGTACAATATATTCTTATCCTGTTGGCTGACATTAGAGTTGCTTCAGTTTTTGACTAATACAAACAATGCTGATATGAACGCTTTTATGCACATTTCCCAGTGTGTATGTGTATATGTTTCTGTAAGAGAGTCTATATCTCTGCCTTCCAGGTAACTAAGATTATAGGTATGAGCTACCAGGCATCTAGCGAAGCTAATTTCTTTTATACAATCATACAATATTTCTCTTTCTGTGCCTGGCCTATGTCACTTTGCACAGTGCTCTCCAGTTTCATCCATACATGATATTATTCCCTTCTTCTCAATAGCTGAATAGTACTCCAATGCATATATCTTCTACATTTTCTCTATTCATCCATAGATGGACATTTAGGTGATTTCATACTTTGGGTCATGAATAGTTGCAATAAACATTGAAGGGCAGATGTCTGTCTCACATACTGGTTTCAGTTTCTGTTAGGCTATCTTAGGACCTAGCAAATGGTCTGGATTTGGCTCCTAGGCCAGTGTGTGGTTAGTTCTATTTTAGAAAGACTGTTTAGGTTGGTCTGTTGATAGGAGGCAAAATCAGACATCTGGAGACCCAGGGTGGGACCCTGTAATAACAATCTATATCAGAGATCTTGGCATAGGCCAGAGCAGATCATATTTAAAGCCAAGGAACTATATGAGGAAATCTAGAAAGTAAGCACACAAAACAGTGCTCATTGTCAGTAATCATCAGGGAGATGCAAAACAAAACCATAATGAGATGTCATGTTACTCCAGCAAGAATAGCCAATGTCAAAATGATTAACAATAGCAGTTGCTGCTGAGGATGTGGAGAAAAGGGAACCTTTTGTTCTGTTGGTGGGCATGTAAACATTATAGCCATTTTGGAAAACAGTATAGAGGTTTCCTCAAACTAAAAGTAGAACTGCCATAATGGCCCAGCAGTCTCACTCCTGGGTGTATAGCCAAAGGAAATTGAGTCAGTATATGAGAGACATCTGCATTCTCTTGTTTACTGAGGCATTATTCATAATAACCAAGACATAGAAACAACTTTTAGCTGTCAACTGAAAGATGAATAAAAAAATATGGTCCATATATTCAGTGACATACTACACACCATAAAAAATCAAATCAAATATATACAAATTGGTGATAACATGGATAGAACTAGAGGTCATTATGTAAAGTAAGGCTGACAGACACACACACAAAATAGTGCATGATCTCACTGTGAAATCTAAAACCATGCCAAATATATGTGGTGGAGAGGAGAGGAGATAAAATAAAATAGTGATTACCATTGTTGGTGTACAGAAGAGGAAATGTAAAACAAAAAATATAGGAAATATGTAGGATGAACAGTTCATACAGTATCAGGACTATAGGTAATAAGAATGTATTCAGGCCAGCCACTGGTGGCTCACGATTGTAATCCTAGCTAGTCAGGAGGCTGAGATCTAAGGCTTGCAATTCAAAGCCAGTTGAGGCAGGAAAGTCCATGTGTCTCTTATCTCCAATTAACCACCAGAAAAGTGGAAGTAGTACTGTGGCTCAAAGTGGTAGAGTGCTATCCTTCAGTAAGAGAGCTAAGAGACAGTGCCCAGGCCCTTGAGTTCAAGCTCCATGACTGACTAAAAAGAATGTATTCAGGATTGGTTAAATAAATAGATTATAGCTATTCTTGTAACCGGAATATAACTGTGTGAAATGATAGATATGTTAATTTGCTTCATTGTAGTCAACATTTTACTGTGTGTATTTATCTCATATATATGTAAATTTGGTTATCTTTTTAAAAGAAAGTAATAATTGTGTCAATAAGTACTGGTTCAAATGAAATGAAGGCTGAGAAGTTCAAATGGAATGAAGTTCAAATCAAATGAAGACCAAGAAGTTCAAATGAAATGAAGACTGAGAAGTTACCACTAATGTTTGGCAAAGGTGAACATGAGAAGTAACCTTGATAAGAATGGTTTCATCTGGGTGCTAGCTACTCAGGAGGCTGAAATCTCAGGATTGTGGTTCAAAGTCAGCCTGGGTAGCAAAGTCCATGAGATTCTTATCCAGTTAACCCGCAAAATGCTGGAAATGAAGCGGTGGCTTGAGTGGTAGAGCACTAGCCTTGAGGGAAAAAGCTAAGGGACAGTCAGTGCCCGGGCTCTGAGTTCCAGCCCCATTAAATCCCTCCCTCTCTAAAAAAGTGGTTTTATTGACATCATGGTACAAAAGCCTACAGGAGTGGGTTTGAGAGAATTGACTGAGAAATCAAAAGAGGCAGAAGGTATAGGCCGCCTACTTGTTTTGATGTAAAGAGAGGCTGAGTAAAGGGAAGATGTCTGGAGAAGTATTGTCTAGAGAAGTTTACTCAGCACTGGTTAATAATTACAGCATACTTGTGTACAATGAATTAAAAAAAATCTTGGCCTTCATGAAACTTACATTTTAGTATAACAGGAGGATAGATAATAAGAAACAAATCAAGTCAGGTGGCTCATGCCTATAATCCTAGCTACTCAGGAGGCTGAGATCTGAGGATCAGGGTTCAAAGCCAGCCAGGCAGAAAAGTCCATGAGACTCTTAACTCCAATAAACTACTCAAAAAAGCCAGAAGTGGCACTGTGGTTAAAATGGTGGAGCATTAGCCTTGAGCACAAAGAGGCTCAGGGACAGTGCGCCCAACCCTGAGTTCAAGCTGCAGGACCGGCAAAAAAAAAAAAAAAAAATTCAAAGAATTACATTTTAGCTTCCTCACAGGAGTCTCTACTTTCATCCCTTCATTCAGTCTTTTTTTGCTAGTATTTAAACACACTCATTTTTTTTGCTCATTCCTGGAGATAAGTGCCTGTCTAGGCTGGCTCCACATTGAGATTTTCAGATCCCAGACTCCGGAGTAACTAGGATTACAGGCATGAACCATTGGTACCTGGCACTTGGCCATTCAACCATGTAAACATATAACCTGAGAATTTTAAAGCACTTGCTCTAGACCAAAAAAATACTCAATGTTAGAGCTAAGATTGGATTTTTGGGGGACTGGTTTTGATTCTGCGGAGGGTGGGAAGGAGTTGGATCACCTCCAGGTGGGACATAAAATGCATGTTGGTGTATATCTTATCTGATGTTGATTTTGGTTTTGTAGGTGTACTGGATTCATATTCCAGAAGGTTGGGAAATTGGCTGCAACAGCTGTGGGTGGAGGATTTTTCCTCCTTCAGGTCTGTATATGAAGTATTCCTAGATATTTGGGAATTGTGCTTGCTCATTAAGCAGTATATGATAAGGAATTGTTACCGTGGCTATATTATGCTAGAATAGCTTTTCCACTTTTTTTTTCTTTTTGCTGGTCCTTGAACTTAAACTCTGAGCTTGGGCACTGTCCCTGAGCTCTTTTTTTTTTCTTTTTTTGCTCAAGGCTAGCATCCTAGCACCCTACCACTTGAGCCACAGCTCCACTTCTGGCTTTTTCTGTGATTAATTGGAGATAAGAGTCTCATGGACTTTCCTGCCCAGGCTAGCTTTGAACTGTAATCCTCAGACCTCAGCCTCCTCAGTAGCTAGGGTTACAGGTGTGAGCCACCACTGCCTAGCCCCTTTGTTTTTTTATATGTTGTAATCCATTTATCTGTCTACAAAAATCTTTGTGACATTGTTTAACATGTCATTTCTATGTTGTATCCTTCATTCCATAGGCACAATCTCTTCACATATTTAGATTGTCTTTTTTCTTTGACATTTTATAGTTTTCAACATATAGATTCTATATATTTTTATGTTTACAACTAGTATTTAATTTTACAGCAAGTGTATATTGTTTTAAAATGTCAATTTCTAGTTGTTCATATTGCTGGCATGTGGAAATTCAGTTGTTTTCATTTGTTGATCTTGTATCCTATGACCTTGCTAAATTTACTTTTTTTTTCTTTTGTCGGTAGTGGGGCCTGAACTCTGGGCCTGGCCCTATCCCTCAGTCTTCAGCTGTGGACTAGTGCTCTACCACTTGAGCCTCAGCCCCACTTCCTGCTTTTACTGCTTATGTGGTGCTGAGGAATCGAGCCGAGGGTCTCATGCATGCAAGGCAAGCACTCTACCACTAAGCTACCTTCCCAGCCCCACTAAATTCACTTTTTAAGTCTAGGTATTTTTATTTGTTTTTGTTAGATTCTTTAATATTCACTGTGTAAACTGCAGTTTGATCTTTTCAAATCTGGATGCCTGCCTACTTTTGTTTCTTGTAGTGAATACAACTTCACTTCCAGCATAATATTGAATAGAAACTGAGAAAGGTAGACATCTTTGCCTTGTTTCCAGAAATTATTCTTTCATCATTGTGTAGTGGTAGCTGTAGGGTTGTTTTTTTTTTTTTTTGGAAATGGAACTGGGATTTGAGCTTAGGGTTTTGCTTTTGCTGGGTAAATGCTCTATTGTTGAGATAAAACTTCCAGCCCTTTTTGGTCTGGTTTTTTTTTTTTTTTTTTTTTTTGCAGAACAGTGGTTTATAGATGTTTATTGAACATTACAGTTGACTGAGTGCCTAGATTGTGACCAGGGCTACATCCGAGACCCTGGAGGCCATCTGCTCGCCATCCTTAGGTTTCCTAGGATGGCTGCCAGGTGTGAGGCTCAGTGCCTGCTGCCCGAGCAGGACCCCAGGGGAGGACACACTGGAACCTGCAGGGTGTGGTGCATCTCACAGACACTTTTATTCATGCCACAGAAGAAGTGGTGCTCCTACAAGGATATGTACAGCGGTGTTCCGTGTTCCCAGCTAACAAAGCTTGCTCAAATGTGCAGGCAGACTGGCGTTTCCCGTCGTGCAGAGGAGCTAATGATGGCTGTGAGAAGGCGCAGGAGTGGAGCCTTTTAAAGCCTTACTTCTTTTATCAGCACTCCTGATCTTATACACGATGAAGCCCATCAACCCCTTCCCTACCCAGATCTCCTGGTAAACCTGGGTGTAGTAGGGCTTCAGGGGGACCCAGACATTTTTCATAAAGCTTTGAAGCATCTCGACAGGACGGAGGGCTCAGACCCCTGGTCTGGCTATTTTTGAACAAAGGTCTGCTTTTTGCCCAGGGCACCTTAGAATTTATACTTTCTTCTGTAGTTGGATGACAGAATTGTGTTGGTTGTACCTAGCTTTTTCTGAGATGGGGTCTTGTGAACTTTGTGCGCAGGCTGGCTTCAAACTATGATCTTCCCAATCTCTACCTCCTGAGTAGCTGGGATTACATGCATAAATAGCTAGCATCCAGTGTGCAGCAGTTATAGGATTTTTTTTTAAATCAAGTTGGAGAATTTTCCTTCTATATTCCTAGTTTACTAAAATTTTATCTTAACTGTGTGTTAAATTTTGTCAGATACGGTTTGAGTTCTGCTTTGAAAGTAAGTCAGATGGTATTGCAGAAAAAAATAAGGAAACATAGTACTAGTTCAGTGGTATTTTGAATTCTGGTCTCCTCTAACTTACCTGCTGCTCTTTTGTTCTAATGCTTTATTAACATGATTCTCTGGGACAAACTGGGTGAAGGAAATAAACCTTCATTCAACATGTGCTTTTCAGTATTCATCTCAATTACTTTTATAAGTAGCTTTGTTTATAGCCAACTTGAGGAGTATTTCCAGTTATTTACTATTACAAGGAAAGCTATTATAGCATTTGCAGTTTCAGTGTTAGTAAATAATGTCAAATTGTTCCCTTGACAGACTTCAGTTAACACTCAGTGTATGACATCTTTTTTCCTTACCTCCACAATCTTTTCTTTTAATTTTCTCAGATCTATAAAAAAACTATTGTGGCACATTATTTTAATTTACATTTCCCTGATTACTTGTACCATTGAACTTTCAGTTTGGGCAACTGTATTCTGTGAATTGTCTTTATCCAGTTTCCAGATGTTTTTCTTCCTGATTGCTATTCTTTTTTTTTCTGGTCCTGAGCTTGAACTCTGGGCCTGGACAGTGCTGTCCCTGAGCTTCTTTTGCTCAAGGCTATTGTTCTACTGCTTGACCCACAGTGCCACTTCCAGTTTTTTCTGGGTAGTTTATTGGAGATAAGAGTCTCACAGACTTTCCTGTCCAGGGTGACTTCAAACCATGATCCTTAGATCTCAGCCTCCCGGGTAGCTACAATTACAGGTGTGAGCCACAGGCACAGGCTAGGAAGTTCACTTTTTAAATGAACATATTGTCTCCAGGCTCTTAAGGTAGCTAATTGGTAGAGGTGTGTAGGACCTTGCATTATATACTATGTGTCAAGTACATGTCAAAGAACCATAGAGTAGATAATAAACAAATGAAAAATTGGCTACTAGATGCAGGTGTATATTGTGGACATTTCAAAACTCATTTTTCAAAATGTCATTTTACTTCCTTTCCCAGATTTTTCTCTGTTCTTTTTCTTATTTTATTTTATAAAAAGTGCTACTCATTGTCTGCCTTGTCATTTTGGATAGAATTTTATCTCTATCTTTAAAGCTAAGCGCACTACCATTTCTCTTCTGGGTTGCTACTTTAGCTTTCTAATTGATGTTTCTGAAGAGGTTTCTGATTCACAACACAAAATAGCAAGCTTATTTTCTCATTTCTATCACTGTTGTTGAAAATGTAGATTGCAAACCACACTGGCTACATCAAAGTTGACTGGCAACGCGTAGAAAAGGACATGAAAAAAGCCAAAGAACAGTTGAAGATTCGTAAGAGCAACCAAATACCAACTGAGGTGAAGAGCAAAGCTGAGGAGGTAAGACTTGTTATATTCATATGTACTGTGTAAAGATTACAGACAATTTTGTGCGTACAAAATGAGGGTGTGAGGTGCACCAATGTCTCAGAAGTGGACAAAGCTTAAAGATTTCCAAGAACTTGAAGTAATGAGATGAAAGCTATTTTCTATAGGCCAGCATTAGTTGAAATATCTTTATTGAATATCTTCCTTATTAGACAGGTTATTGTTAGGTAACCCAGACTGACCTTGATCTCAAGATCTTTCTGCCTCACTGTCCCGGATGTTGGGATTACAGGCCTCTATTACTATGCCCAGCTTAAACAGGCATTTTATTAAAGCTGGATAATTCAGGTGTTTGTTGATCTTTGTCAGTGAGAGCAAAAAGTGATATAGATACTAAGGTAGTTAACTAGTTCTTGTAGGAATAGGGCATCATAGTGGTTGGAAAGGATATAGTAAGTTATATTTTGTTCCCATGTCCTCTTGACTTTGAACATCCATCCTCTGCTTGTCATACACATAGCTGATTGGTGGAGCATAGACAAGGAGCCTTGGGCAAGTGAGAACTTTTATAGAAGCGAAGGGGAGATGAAAAGCTTTGGAATTAAAGGAAATGAGGACCTCACTTATTATTCATCAGTAACAGAATTGGTTCCCGATTTTAACATTCTTAGCAAACTTAATGTATTGTGCTAAATCTTCTGTTCTCAGGTTGTGTCATTTGTGAAGAAGAACGTTCTAGTAACTGGAGGATTTTTGGGAGGCTTTCTGCTTGGCATGGCATCCTAAGGAATGCATCTTCCCGTGTTCTGGTTTTTCCCAGCCAGCAGTCTCTACACTTCATCTATAGGACATCAAGTCTGTTCTCTTCCTCCTCTTCTTCTGTGCCTTCCTCCCTGCGGTAGCAAATCTATCTGGACGGCTTCTCTAGTCAAGCTGTTTGCTCAAGTTAAACAACACCTACATGAGCTTGGCAGCAACGGAAGAGACAGTAGATGTTAGCTTTCCTCCTAGTGTACTCCTTACTTGGCCAGTCTATAGATCAACAAGAATGTTCCTTTTCCCCCATGTAATATTCATACCAGAACATGTTACAAGATGGTTCACTGTAGAGGATGACTGAATCCCGAAAGGCTGTTCCAAACTGTGCTTTTGGAAAAGAAGCACATAGTGAATGTATGTGCTGCGTGAAAAGGAACTGAATACATTGGCCTTTAAGCATAAAAGATTTTGGTATCTTGGTGTGTACTTTCTTTTTTAGTTTTTACAGAAGGAGAGTTGTTTATACCTGTTGTAATTATCCTGACAAAAATGGCAACATAAGTATAGTAACAACAAATCTACGAAATGAACTTGTGTGTGTGTGTGGTTTTTTTTTTTGGTCCAGTCGTGGGGCCTGAACTCTGGGCCTGGGCACTGTCCCTCAGTTCTTCAGCTTAAGGCTAGCACTCTATCACTTGAGCCACAGCGCCACTTCTGGCTTTTTTCTTTTTGCTTATGTGGTGCTGAGGAATCGAACCCAGGACCTCAGGCATGCAAGGCAAGCGCTCTACCACTGAGCCACCTTCCCAGGCCCTGAACTTGTGTTTGAGATATATGATGTGCAAAAGGTATTTTACTCAGTAGGGAGGTGATTAGGAAAATCAGCTTCTAGAAGTACCTTGTTGAATTGTCAGATTAGTTGGGGAATTCATGTCCAAGTCATTTATATGGAAAGAAGCTCTTGGATTTTTGTTTCATAAAAAAATTTTATGTTTCGAAATGTGAAGCATGTCTGTGAAAATGCTAGGGACAGCCATAGATGTCCTGAGGCAGTTCTGTTGCTTTATTCAGTTAGTGTGAAATACAACATTTAAATGAGAATTTTAATGAGGTAGCATTCTAGGAATTCACAATTGTAAGAGATAATGGTGGCACATGTGAAATAATATCCATCCATAAAGTACAACCCACTGTGTCATGGTGACCTGGGATTCTTAGTATTATTTTTTAACATAAAAGCTGGACATTGGGCTAGGAAGGTGGCTCAGTGGTAGAGCGCTTGCCTTGCATGTATGAGGCGCTGGGTTCCATTCCTCACTCCTCACAAGTAGAAAACAAAGCCGGAAGTGGCGCTGTGGCTCAAGTGGTAGAGCACTAGCCCTGAGGGACAGCACCCAGGCCCAGAGTTGAGGCCCACGACCGGATCCCCCCAAAAAAAGAGTTGGACATACGCACATGTACACAGAGGCTAACACGATTTGTTTTAATGGCCTGTTACCATGTCTGCAACTCCAGCTATAATGATGTATGACCTCAACAGAGGTTCTACATATTTATTGAATATGGTAATAATGTCCTTGCTTAAGGAAAATGTACTTTTACAGGTATTCCAAGTTAATTTTTTTCTTTTCTTTTTTTTTTCCATAGTGGGGCTTGAACTCTCGGCTTGGGTGCTCTCCCTGAGCTCTTCAGCTCAAGGCAAGCACTCTACTGCTTGAGCCACAGCACCACTTCCGGTTTTCTGGAGGTTAATTGGAGATGAGTCTCATGGACTTTCCTGCCCGGGCTGGCTTTGAACCACAATCCTCAGATCTCAGCCTCCTGAGTAGCTAGGATTACAGGCATAACTCAAGTTAATTCTTATAGATAATCCCATATAAAATATAATGCATTTCTAAGTCATCTAAAATGTTTATCTTTAACCTATCTTGAGAATGGCATGTTGAATTTGACTATCAGTTCATAGAATTTTATATAATTTACCTATCTGCATTTCCTTATTACATTACCATATTAAGACAAAAGTTCTTTTGCTTATAATATGTATGAATCATCTGCAAAGCACTGTGGTTTAAGCTTGCTTCATATGTTCTTTAAGAGTTGAAAATGATTTTGAACTTTGAACTTAGAGCTTATGCTTGCCAGATAGGTACTCCACCACAGAACCTGCGTCTAGTCCTTTTTTGTGCTGGTTATTTCTGAGATTTAGGGTTTTGCTTCCTGTCCAGGTGTGTGCTTGGACTGTGATTTGCCTGTATTTTAAGCTTCCCATTGTAGCTGGGTTAAGAGATGTACCAACGCATGCCAGCATCTTTCTGTTGGGATGGAGTGTCATGGACTTATCTGATCAAGCTAGCCTGGAAATATGATCCTTTTAATATTAGTCTCTTACATAGTTTAGAATGCCATTCATGTGCTTCCATACTTAGCTATTGGTTGAGAAAGGGATCTAGTGAATTCTTCTAGTGAATTCTTCAGTCCTCCTGCACTCAGCCTCCCAACTAGCTAGGATTACAGGTGTGAGCCACCATGCCTAGCTTTTTGAACTTTTAATGGAAAATTTAAATACAAAAGAGAGGCTGGAAATGTGGCTTAGTGGTAGAGTGCTTGCCTAGCATGCATGAAATGAAGCCCTGGGTTCGATTCCTCAGTACCACATATGCAGAAAAAGCCAGAAGGGGCGCTGTGGCTCAAGTGGTAGAGTGCCAGCCTTGAGTAAAAAGAAGCTTAGAAACAGTGTCCAGGCCAGCCCCAAGACAGGGGAGCGGAGGGAGAGAGGAGGAGAGAGGAGAGGGGGCAGGGAGGAGAAGGGGAAGGAGAGAGGGGAAGAGGAGAGAGGAGAGAGAGAATATTGCTGGGCACTAGTGTCTCAGGGGTAATCCTAGCTACTGAGGAGGCTGCAATCGGAGGATTGCAGTTCAAAGCTGGCCCGGGCAGAATAGTCTCCATGAGACTCTTACCTCCAATTAACTACTCAAAAAAACCAGTAGTGGTGCACTGGCTCAAGTGGTAGAGTGCTAGCCTTGAGCACAAAGAAGCTCAGGGACAGAACCCCTGAGTTCAAGCCCCAGAACCAACAAAAGGAAAAAGATACTATGCTATGGTGAATCATCCAATAGCTTACAATTATTATTATCAATTATTGTAAAAGACATTATAAGTATAATTATAATCATTTCATTGAATCTTAATGTGTATTGGTGAAAGGTAAGCATTACTCGTATTTTTATTGTGAAAATACTGTACAGAGGGGTTACAATTACATGGGCAAGATAATGAGTACATTTCTTTTTTTGGGGGGGGTCTGGTCGTGGGGCTGAACTCTGGGCCTGGGTGCTGTCCCTCAGCTCTTCAGCTCAAG